GTGTCCTTAGATTTGGACATGGACACAGTGTCTCTTTTCTTCCCCCCCCCCTTCTTACTCATTTGAATTGCACTCATTATTGTATATAGCATGACATGTATATTAATAGAATGACATTGAATAGTGGACAGTTGAATATGTACACTCGTAGTTAATTAATTAAATAGCTGCATTTACGAGCCTATCTAAATCAGGCAATTATTACTTTACTACATAATTAAGAGGTGCGAACTTAAGACAGTAAGGGACGAATTCAATGGAATGCCGGTTATCTTTGAATTTAGAAAGTCAAATCTTATACAAGTATATTCTGGAGTAAGTTATAACTAGGAGATAAATACTCGAGGCTAGTTTATAACGGTGATGATGGATTTATATAGGTACAATGTTTAACCGACAGAGTGTGTTAGCTTGTTACTTAATAAAGGAGTGGAAAGACTTTTGAAATCCTGGTCGGAAGGGTGTATTGGTTTAAATGTTTCATTCTTGTAGAATGGGGACGATAGGGACACATTGGCCAAAGGTGTCGGGCGCAGGTAGATAGTTGTTTCAAGGGGTAGGAGTACCGAGAATACTAGTAGTCGGTCAGAATAGAGTTACTTGTAATAGGAGTTAGAAAGAAATGCTAACTTTGGTTTGATAGCCATGGTGGTTTGTAAAGTTTGTTAGAAAAGCCTCTATCTAAGTTCAGTAAGTTTATACATGTACATTATTTAAATCGTATGCAGTCTATACTAGTCAATTAAGTGTTGACATCCTGTAAATTAAAGCTAAGAAATACTGTATAAATAATACAAGCAGTAGATCTAAACATTTATTACAATAATTAATTAATGTATATCTAGTAGTAGCAATCAGTAAGTTAGTAAGTTCATGGAAGTATTTCTATACTTGTTGAGAGTTTTACAGTTCTTATATTGTTGAACAGTTGCCTAGAAATGGCTTAGTGGATAATAAATTCATTATTCGATTTTAGATCGATTTCAAGTTACAAATCTTGTTAGTCTGGTTTGCCTAGTAAATTAAGTATGCATTGTTGATGATACCGTACAAAATCTATAGTAGATTTAGAACTTACTGTAGGAATGATTACTAAACAGGAACACAAAACTTCGTCTGTATATTTCAGACAAACGGACTCAGGTCATCGTGCCTTATATATCGCTCGGAAGTGTGAAAGGGAATAAGATACTATTTTTGTTATTTAGTGAGTGACTGAGTGGAAGACTTGATACACAGAAACGAATGTATGGGACATGATTATGGTCTAAATGGTGTTGTGAGGCTTGTTAGAGAGACAAAAACATGATTAGTTCCTACTTAATGATACTTAATTACGGTATCAGGGGTGAGAATAACACTCACCTATAAAAGGATGGAAGATATTGTGAAGTGGTTTGAGACTCTAGAAGCTAACTTTGAGTGGAAATGGCCAAATCAATACCGGATTTTCCCAGAGTGAGACAGTGCGTCTTGCACGTGACAAGAGACAGATTGGGAAAGGACGAGACAGTGCGTCCCAAAAGGAAGCAATTGCCATACGTCACAATGACTTTAAGCGTATACTAGTAGAAGGACGCATGGTCCGGTTTCTTAGGAATCTGTGTATGTAAGTGAGAGTGTATCAGATTACAGAGTAAATGTAAACACACAAACCGTGTTGTTTTGGAGATCCTAGCGCTCCAGATTAAGACTAGGTGGTGGCAGCAACCGTCATGGTAATTCATGGTATAAGGGACTGACATAAAAGTGGTTATGAATGTAGTCTTCTTTCCAGACCTGTTTTACTTGTATTCCCTATATTGATAGAATTCGCTATAATGGTAGTAGGAGAAAGTTTATGTAGCGATGGGGATGATTTTGGGACACTGGTGGAAGCATATTAACCACCCCCCTTGATTCCCCGATTCTATCAAACCGTCACAATGGTGGGATTTTCTTTCTAACCCCCCCCCCCCCCTCTTCTTCCCTGATTTCACGCCAGAACCGCCACAATGGTGGCAGCGGTGGGATTTCTATCAAATCAACCCCCCCCCCCTCTTCTTCCCTGATTTCACACGCCAGAAACCGTCACAATATAATGAATCGGACAAAAGAAATATCTTAAAACTGAGATCTATTTATACAGAATGAGATTTTGTATATATTTACATATCAAATATTCAAGTTTCTAAATAGTTTTTAAGTGATGAAATATTAATGTTAAAAGCTCATCTATGAAAATATATAGTAGATAAACAAGGACTGCTAGCAATGCCCAAATGTTGTACGACACTGAAGCGTCCTATATAGGCCGTGGTAGAGCAGATTATGCTCACTCTGGCTTAATCAAGTAAAATAAAAACATATATCAAATTTAAATTTCCTGAGCTCAAGTAGGAGCTATACCTCAACAATTCATAAGTAGAGTTCCTTTAGATGAGTATGAAATATACTATAATACTCATAATGACTGAAAAACATAAATCAAATGGTGTATGTCGTACCTGCCCCCCCCCCCCCCACTCAGTGTTAATTAGGGTACGCATATGCTTGTTCCCTCTTTTTGAAACCCCCCCCCCCCCCTTTCTGAGGACTGCCAACATTTCCGAACCCTCCTTTCGCGGGCTTTTCCTTCATTCGAGACCCCCTAAATCATGAAAAATGCTCAATGTCACCCCCCTAAATTCGGAATAATTTGTCAGGAGTCCAAAGAGATGAGAAAAAAAAAGTTAATACACCCCTTTTTTTACAATTCTCGGGCCGGACTTTGTCGCACGAAAAGTACCCCTTTACCGGACATTTTAGTAACACGCATGGGGTCCGTCCGTTCTCGGAGTGGGGGGGGGGGGGGGGGGGGGGATGTCGTATGAGATTTGTTACTGCGCCGCCGTTATCATTTTACGAAAACTTGCTCCTCGTGTTAAGGATGCATAAGATTGTAAATTTTAACAAGTTATTTGAGCCTAATATGCCCCACAAAGTTAGACTCAAAAATTAAAAAAATATTTCTTAACTACTGAATTAAGCTAGCTACATCAGCACACTAAATGATTGTCTGCAATGTTATGATTTAATATTCCACTACGTTGTGTGACTCCTCAAGCCGATCATGGCAAATAAAGATAACATGGTTTAAATTGACTTCATTACAACTGCGGTAAAAACACGTTGATTTACCCTTTTTTTTATTTGTATAGATGGGCCCCCTCCTCTGGCGCTCAAGGGGGGGGGGGGGAGGGTGCGATTTTTCATATTTTCGAGGGCCAAAAAAAAATGCTCACTAGGGTAGGGTAGGTAGGGTGAGATTTTACACAAGGAGATTTTTTTTTTTTTTTAATGATGAGATATATAATTTATCAGGAGCTCAGTTTACTTTACAAACCAGAGCGTTCAAATCCCAAATAAGTTTTTTATTTTATTTATATGTAAATCCCAAATAAGTTAATGGTCTACGCAAGGTGTTCCATACATTTCCAAGTTCTACGCCTGCTCTAGATCTACGGCCTAAATTCATCGGATGATTTGAGGTAAGTTAGCAATTTCCCCACTCCTGGTATGATCTTATAGTCTAATGTTCAATGTACCTTTGGAAACAGAAGAGAAATTATCACTTATCGTTATTCCAGGTAAGTATTGCAATCATTTAAGTGTGTAATTATTGGAAAACGATCGGACTGACGTGACTCAGAATCACGATACCGGTATCGATCGGTGTGTTTTACTGCACTGTTGGTGAGAGCGTCTTACCCGTTGGACCCCGGGATGTGCATGTGCGGCATTTGGGTCTGACAAGTAGATCTAGACCTAGGCTAGACCGAAAGCTTCAGTCTCTATACCGTCGGTTGTTCCACTGAGACTACGTCTGGCTCCACTAGACCTCCGGTTATAGAGACAGAACGATCGCCTATGCCAGCCTATGTTGAAGATATCACGGCTAGATTTTAGCCGTTAGGCCCCTCCCACAAACATGAACAAACTTGCCACGGCCGTATTGTTATGCCCCCAAAATCCCCCAAAATGTCATTTTACCTCGTGCATATCCAATTTTACATTAGGCCTAGGCTATAATACATCGGTTCCACTTACTAACTTGATTGAAATAATCCGTTTAATGGTCCCTTTTAAGGAAATTATGGGTCAAAATCGACATCCATGTTGAAAATCTTGCAAGCCGTGTTAAACTCTCGCTGCCGTCAATCTCATCCCTTCTAGTCTACGCCGAAGGCAAAATGATTATGAAGGAAAAACTGTGCGCCATCTACACGTTCGTAATGGTTTTATCACAGTTTTTCCTTCATAATCTAGCCGTGATATCTTCAACATAGGCTGGCATAGGCGATCGTTCAGTCTCTATAACCGGAGGTCTAGTGGAGCCAGACGTAGTCTCAGTGGAACAACCGACGGTATAGAGACTGAAGCTTTCGGTCTAGACCTAGGCTAGCTAGCTCTAGAACCTAGCTCGTATATTCTTGATGTACTTTACAATAATAACCAGACTGCAGTGTGACCGTGACTGATTTGAGTTAGTGTGTTGTTTATAGACCTAGACAGAAATAACCGTCTGGTAATAAAACTGAAATTTGTCAACTTTCCCCACCATACTGTCTAGATCTAGGGTAGAGTGCCCAGTATTCGGTCACTTAAGGGGAAATCACTAATATTCTAGTGACGTGTGTGCTGTGCTGTCTACTTTATTTCTCCATATTTTATGTGTGGTTCAAATAAAAAGGAGGAACCTAAAAGTAAAAACATTTCATGTGCACACTTAGTCCAACTCGTTTCACTCAACCAGGAGTGTTGAGCCATATTATTTTCAGATTAAATGAAGTGAATGCAGATGAAGCTAAGCTAGGGTGATGACTGAGATCATCCAAATCTATCTCTAGACTTAGACTAGACCTAAGGTCTATACATTTTTCTTGGTCAATAAAAAATGGTCAGAAAAAAATAATAGTAATTAAAACTTTGTATTCTTTTGCTCCTCAAGCCAAACCAAGGACTGCCAACATGTTAGCCAGTTCTGCTGTTGTCGCCTCACTGTAAACGTGCTGTGACCAAGATGTTATGCAGAGGATGTCTTCAACAGCTACAGAAAACCCAGACCAGAACAGCTTTCAATATCTTCCAGAAATGGGGCAAAAAAGCAGAGCCAACAACACCCAGTAACTTCTCAATTGTTCAGGCAGGAAAGGTAAGGATGGAGATTCTCTTTGCCTTTGGAGTGTGGTTCAAATGTTTGCATTGAAAGTAATTTAATCAACCTCATGATACGGTTTTAAAAAATTACTAGGTCTGTTAGCTACGTTCCCTTTTAATATTTGATAGGAATACAATACATGATAATTGGTTAATCGAACATAAAGCGACCCCAACTTGGAGTGCTTTCTCATTTTGGTAGAGGGAAACAAATTAAATAGTCTGACTAGTAGAGGTAAACTTACATACAAACTCATGAGGGTATTAGGTAGCTTTACAGCAAAATAAAATGTCATGTCAAGAATAACAATACACCGGGCCAGTCAATAGTCATTTCCCCCCATTCTATCATCTCCTTAACTGTGGCAGGCATGCCTTCAACTTAATATTAAGAAATAAATCATGCTGACCCTGCTGAGCTAGACCCCAGATACATTGAGGTGAAAGGTGAATTTTAATTGACCAGATGCGGTCCTTTGTTATGCCATAGTATTGTAAGCTATGATACTCTCCTAAACTTGCCTAATCACAGTTAGCATAGTAGTATCCACTTAAGATAACCCTAAGACCACTACCAACCTTTAGCTATGCCTCTGATCCCAAACTTAACCTTAACACTAAGAATTGGTAGAGACTGTGTCTTGTTTATAAATGTTTTAAAAAGGCAGCATGAATCTCATTCAAGCCAAAACACATACCTTAAATTAAAGATAAACTCTTTATGCTATACAGTTTGCAGTTGATAATGGATAACTCATAACAAAATTAATCAGCAGTTATATCTGCATGAGTTGAATCTGTTGGGACTTCAAAACACATTTCGACTTCTGTAAAATTTGACTTAGAAAAGTGTGAATCACACACGTTTTGCATAATTTGGTCAAAAAAATTGATTCAGCTTGAGGGAAATCAGACTTGTTCAATTTCGAAGTATGCAGAGTTCATTGTATCTTTTTTTCTTATTGACTGTTGTCTGTGTTCCTTTGATGTTGTAGGTGAGCCCAATGAGAACTGTACCAGAAGGGATAGAGATGCCAGATTATGCACATGCAGGCAAACCGGTGATTGCTCCACAGAGAAAGGTTTTCATCTTGGATCATGAATCTATTCAATGTATGAGAGAGGCTGGTAAACTCGGCAGGAAGCTCCTAGATCTTACAGCATCATATATTCAGGTACTTACTAAAAGGCCGTATGTATTCATGACAATCTGTGGTGAAAGTCATTACCCCATGGCAGGCAAGTGTGTATGTGTGTGTGTGTAATTGGGTTTTTACAGACGTGTATCAATCAGACATGATTATTTACGTCTGGGGACCGACCTTTAACGTCACCATCCGAAAGACATGACTCGGGTTCGAACCTGCGTCCTCGACTGAATCAGTTTGTAACTTCCATTTACGGTAGCTGGATTACAGGCGCACGCCACAATGCCCCAGTTAACAATGCAAACTTTGTTGTCAACTTGTTGACCATATCAAAATGACAACAAAGTAAAGTTTATCTTTAGTTGAAGGATTTATCACACATACATATATATGTTCGTATGAGGCAATATAACATTACTTTATGAAAGATTTGTTTAGATATTTAAAAAATGCCAAAGGAGCTGGAGCAATGTCTTGTACGTTTAAAAACTTTTGACCTGTTTGCTGCTGATTTTTTCTTTCTCATAGGTATGACACAAGAATCAGCTTGTTCCTGTAGTCCATGGGTTCATTGTTGAAGCAATTAATATTAAATGAAGAAAGAAAATAATATGGCTCAAGAACATGGTCAGTGATAAACCATTAGCACAATTCAGGATGTAAATTATGCCAGCTGCTGACTGATATTAATCCTTGTAAATCTTTCATTACGGAAACCCACTTTGAAATCATCGTCAGATTATTGCTCTAGATCCCCCATTAAATGGAAAAACCTATTGTGTAAATTTCGTTTTCAATCTATTTTCAAGATGTTATGTCCCTCTCTTCCCATCCACTAGGTCGGGGTCACAACAGATCGTTTGGATGAAGTTCTTCACCAGGCCTGCATAGACAACAATGCCTACCCATCCACTCTCAACTACAACTGCTTCCCCAAGTCCTTGTGTACATCAGTCAATAATGTGATGGTCCATGGCATTCCTGATGATAGACCGTTAGAAGATGGGGATATTATCACTGCAGATATCACGGTAATCACTACTCTTGTAATCATGCTGTATTTCCAAGGATGAAAAGAAATACTGTAGACTATTTGTGTAATGTAATCGAATTCAATGCATATATCACACAGAAACTTGCTGGAGATAGAACTTTCACTTTAACTGCATCTAAATACTGGAATATGCTACCTTTAACCCTATTTTAACTGGGCTATTTCAGACCAGGTTTTTAATGAAGATCTTGGCCGTTTCACTACCGATCGCCGCAAAAATTTGCATACATGTCAAGTGAAGTGTATAGAATACTATGGTAATTTCAATTTTTTGAAAAATTCACTCATTTGCATATTTATGATAATTTATGCAAATAAGGTCATAAAATTCACATTTTTGCCCATAGATCATACATTATTCATATTTAAGCATTCTTTTTCACTACGTATATTTGTTAGACCATTTGGAATAATAATACATTACAACACAAAAAATTGGAAGAGCCAGGTTATCTCTTGTTTTGATAATTTCTTTATGTATTTCATTGTTTTTTTAACTTATGTATTTTATTGTTTTTGTTGTTTTGTTGTTTTATTTCATTTATAACTACAATTCAACTTAAACTTTAAACAAGACTAAATAACCAATGTTTTATCTCTTTTTAGGAAATATGACATTTCCATATGTTTTGTACACAAATCACAAAAATGAGCAATTTTCGGGCTGACAGGCAAAGACAAAAGGTCATGTGACTTTGTAGCTATACGTCTGATTTTCGAAAAAATTGTTTTAAAAGATACGTAAGACTCAAAAGAAAAAAGTCATGAAAGGAAAATTGTATATCTGCCGCGGTTTCGGAGTAGTCGCGAAATTTTTATAGGGGGGGTCAAATTGACCCCCCCCCCCCCCCAGATAACGTAGGGTTAATACTCGGGCAATCGTCATCTGTCTCTTCATTCAAAAAGGGACTTAAAACATTTCTTTTTTGTAATCCAGATTTTTGGGATTCTGTAAGTTTACATTTGCATTTTGTGTAGGATTCTTCTTGATGTAAGCGCTTTGGGCCGCTCTGGGAAAAGCGCGGTATATAAATAATAATAATAATAATAGGTGCCATGTTACAAATTATTTCATGCACTTGCTTTGAATAATTTTATTTCAGTAGTCAAAATGCAAATTGCCTACAACCGGGAGGTCGTGGGTTCGTCCCCGGCCGCGTCATACCAAAAGACGTTAAAAGACGGGAGTTGCTGCTACCTTGTTTGGCGTTCAACAATAAGGGATAGAGGAACGTCGATCTGGTGCTGCTCAGTAACTGCCGGGCTCACGATCAATTGGGCAAAAAGAATTTCCATTTTCGGTTTAACTTAATAACATTTGGAGTGGACTTTAAAAGATTATTATTATTATTATTATTATTATTAATCGTTGCAAGGTAGGACAAACATTACGGCTTGTCCTACCTAACAACACGTAATGTATGCAGTCGCTTTGGCCAGGACATGGGCAATAATTTTGCGTTGACATTTTGACCACTGTCATTAAATATTGTTAGTTAAGATAAAACAAGGCAGTTTATTCTTTTTGTGTGGGGTTTGGAGTTTTTAACCACAGTAACTGTGTTAATGTTTATTTAGTGAATATATCTCAATCCAGTTTCTCTACTCCTGTACAATGAAACATTTGAAGAAGTTACAGCATAAAATCAGCCATTGAGTTTGATTATCCTTCCCGTCATGTTCAATTTTCCTGTGTAAGCATCTTACAGTTGGTTATAAATGGATTTTAAAATCAAAGTGGAAACTTTGAAATATATATAGTTTAACACCCTTGTCACACCAACAGCACCGATTCCAGATGGACAGGAGATCGAACAAAGATATTTTAATGACCAAGAATCGGTCGTTTTAACTCAGTTTAAAATTGATGTGGCGGTGTGACAGAAGTAAAAATGAGGGTTATATTTATTTTTTGTAAATTCCTTTTAGAAATTCCTAGGATGTGCTAATTTTTGAAATATCATAACATTCATGCTGTTTAGCTTTTTATGAAGACTTATTGTTTCCATCCCCTTTTCTCTCTCATTTCTACATTTGACTTCATATAGGTGTTCTTGAATGGTTTCCATGCTGATCTATCAGAAACCTTTCTAGTAGGGAATGTGGATGATGCTGGTAAACGTCTGGTAGAGTATGCTAAGAAATGCAGAGATGAAGCAATCAAAGTATGTGGACCAGATGTTCCCATCAGTGCCATTGGAAACACCATATCGTAAGTGATTTTATATACCTCTCTTAAGTATGTTGAATAATCTAGTCATCTGATTGGTCCAATTTGGAGTCATGATTTTAGCCATGCCCGCAAAGAAACAAACTATGCCTGTTGCCCCGGGTAAAGGGCCGCATAGTTAAATTTTTCTGAGTTCCCCTTTTGTTAACTTGTAAAAAGTTTCTTTGTGCGAGCGCAAGCACCATGCAGTGTGTGTGTGAGTCACGAACGATAGTACCATTCAGGCAACTTTCCAGCGAAGATTAACAGACAGTGTCTCAGATTTACTGTGATTTTTATAACCAATCTTTACTCAAGAAAAGGATAAGGCAAGAATTCTTTGTAGATTTTTGTGTGAATTCGGTATATAAAAGATATATGGACTGCTTTAATATTAGAGGCATAGCTGTTTCTATACTGGCTCTTGGGGGCCTTACACAGACCTGCCAACCAGTATGATTTAGTCGTATTTCGTATGATTTTTAGAAGCAAATAGGACAGTACGATTGTATTTTATTTTGTGTAAGTGTGCCAAAATGCATCTCACATCGACATTTTTGGGATGTTCATTGGTTCATCGAACATAACAGTCGTGACAAAATCATGCATACTCAACCAGTAATCCATACAAAAAGTCTTCCTGTATGTAGAAACTGTAAGAGTCTGTGTTTATTTTTAAGAATACAACTTTTGGGATTAAAGAATACAGTTTTTGAATTCCAGAGGTTGGCAGGTCTGCTTACATCCTGCTATGACCCAGCGAGCGGCGCGCCTCTGGTCATAGCAGGTGGTAAGGTCCCCTTGCGCCTATAGAAACAGCTATGCCTCTCATAGCAGTCAATATATCTATACCATTTGTATGCAGTAAGCACTATGAATGAACAAAGAAATATGTGTCAAAGAGATAATATGAAAACATAGTGCATCTTGTTAAATGCATTCTCATTTAAGACTTAAGACATTGTCATTTGACATTTCACATTGTGTCAATAAATATAACTGAAAGAGCTGTAAAAAATATCTGTTGTTAGGAGTCCCTAAGCACAATGCACACTGCTTGAGGTGCCTTCATCCGTCTTGTTCATGTAAGACTGTAAAATTAAGACTTCCCAATGAATGTGTGTGAATATTGTAAGTAGTTCAGATTCCGGATAGATTCTGAATGTTTTCTATTTGCTTAAGTTTTGCCACCAAAATTTCAGTTTTCAAAAGTTTCAAGTTGCAAAGGTTTTTGGTATTACTTCAGTTTGATGCATTCATGTTTAGGCCTTTATTTAAAAAAAAATCATTGCATGAGTTAAAAATAACTAGAAGAGAGAGTGCCGCAAAGATGACATGGATGTGTTTATCATATGAAAAATATAAGCTAGTATATATTAAAAAAACATATGTGTTGAAGTAACCTCAATTATACTGGCATTCACTCATCATTCATGTGTACACAGGGCGATAGCAGCAGAAGGGAATTACTATGTATCACCATCTTTCATTGGACATGGAATCAACACATATTTTCACTGCAAACCTGATATTTGGCACTATGGTAAGTACTGCTTACTCAGAAAAGGAATTCCCAGTACATATAATGCTAAGAAAGATGGCATAACTCACAAAGATCTCACAAAAGTATCTTTATTTGATTATCTTTTACATGCTGCAGTGACATTATCTAGCTTTTCCTGATTTGTTGTTTTGCAGGAACATGTAGAAGTTGTCCTGATATTTAATGGTGTAAAGTATATTGGTGTTAAAATGAAAGAAATATCAGTTATCTATGAAGCATAATTGATGAGCATATAAATTTAATTAAAAAATATGATATTTATATGGCTGCCACCCTTTGACCATTATGTTAATCCATTTATTAAGGGGGTACTGGCTATCTTGGAGGGGAAGAGAAGGAACTCACCAGGTGTATAAATCGCAAGAGCGCAAATTAACTTAGGGTATTTCGCAGGTTGTATCATCTCTTTCTACTCCCGTTTCTTTCTTTCTTTTTCTTGTCTCTTCGCATTGCATGCCCATTAGCTGCCATACTGCTATCACTCCAATTCAGCCTCTGTCTCTGGTGTTTTAATTTTGTGTTTGCATACTTTATATACATGTAGATATTTGTCAAGGATTTGTATGTCACTGGTGTAATGAACCAATGACTTGTCTTAGTTTAGATTTTTAAATGAAAATTACCCCCCACTTTCACCACAATAGAATATAACAGAGTTTTCTAGATAACATCCTGAATTTTAAGGTCAAAGGCCAATATAATAATATCAATGCTTTTTAATTTGTAAAATGTTCAATGTTATTTGTCCTTCAGCAAACTTTTATCCAGAGAGCATGATGGCTGGTTTGACATTCACAATAGAACCTGTGATCTTAGAGAGTGTGGACAGGATGGTAACAGGAGATGATGATTGGACTGTGTATGCTCAAAATCATACAAGGTATTTAAACCATTATCACAATGTCTTTCAACGAACAGATGTGCTAGAACGTCTTTACTTATGCATGGTTGTATTTAACATTGAAAAGCTACATATTTGAAGTGAAATAAGCTTTACAAATGAATAAAAAGACTCATGATATCATATACTGGTATTTGCCTTCTTTTTGTAAGGTTTCATCATGAATAGACCTACTTAAATAAGATAGACAAAGTAATTTTATATGAACCTATTAGAAAATATATATGCAGTAGTCTATGACAAATATTATTTTTGGTCAGCAATTTTAGAGTAGTGCATCATCTGCCATTTCAAACCCAACCCCCCCCCCCCCCCCCCCCAAAAAAAAAAAAAAATTGATATCAGGTAAATGCTACTGCCTTTTGGAGAATTGATATATTTAGAACTTGTCTCAGTAGCCTAGGTGTTATTGAGATTTGTTTTTGTTTCATTCATCCTAATGTCTTAAAGGGACTTGGTAACATTGTTCAGATGATAGAAAATGGTGCTAAGGTTGTGACTTCGATGCTAGATGTACATTTAAAGATAATCTGACAGTTTGAGTGAAAACAGACCATTATTAATGTTAACATTTGGGATAAACTTATCTGATCGAATCCTTAATTCTCCCAACTATATCATTACAATTTGATTACATTTTAGGTGAATTTAGGTGTAAATCATCACAAAGCAATGAATTGGCTCTATATACCATTCCAGACATTTAAGTGTTGACAAATTTTTAAATGCCTGTCTTATGTCTTATTTTCATGGAAAAACAGTTGGGAAAGTTCAAAAATGGTTGGGAGAATTTACTGTGAGAGGGTGTCACACAGTGACGCCTTCAAAGAAAACCATAAATATCTTTGTGGTTTGAGAATTTTTTCAGGATTTTTTGCATGTCAGAGAGTTAGTACAGTAGAAGGAATATAATAAGTAACATTCCATAGAAAAATTACACAGTTTTTTCATCAACCTTCAACCGAGTCACTTCAATACTTTATCCTCTTTGTCATTGTCCATTCTAGATCAGCCCAGTTTGAGCACACAATCCTGATAACGAAGTCAGGTTTTGAGGTCCTGACAGCTGGCGAAGATGAAGACTTCACAGTGAAACCCATAGAAACCACATCAGAGGTTGACGATCAAGCAAAAGCACTACATAAAGAGGATTGGACTTTCGATCAGAAGACGTGATATCAACAGAATATTGGTTATTCTCTTCTTGTTTAACTATTGCTGGGTATACATCAATATCAAAGTGACCTTTGCATGCATCAGAAGCTGAATGTATGTAGTTAAATGGAGTTCCTTTTGTTAAAGAGGAATACCGTTGATGCCATCTCGCATCCCAAGACCTGATTATGTCTTGATTTTAAAAGAAATGTTAGAAGAATATTTTTTTTTTCTCTCAAAAATCCCATGTAAACTGTAAAGAATTGAGGTCCTGAATAATCATATGAATATAAATGATATTCATATGTCTATTCAATTGAAATGGCATTGCATTATAAGCTTTGCAGTCCGGGAAAAGCCAAATCACCTTCTACAAGTCAATGGTCAGTTCTTGTGAATCGTGGTGTGATATCAAAATTATTGTAACAGGTCTTGTCTTTTATCTGAAATAGACACCTCAATCAGGAGAAAAAGTGCAAGAGGAGTCATATAACTGATCCAATTTTAATTTCTAGCAAAATCCAATCACGGTCAAATGGTAAGATGTGTGGTTGCCTTAGGCTATTCAGAAGCAAAAACAGGGGTAATCAACTAAAATTTTAGGCAAACTCAGAATTGAGCACTCTTCCGATTGAGGGATTCTTCTCTCCTTTTTAGCGAGATACATGTATGCTAACAACTGCCACCACAGTTTTCATGTTTTCCTTTGAAATTCTTGTCACTCCCTGGAAACAACTAAAGGTCTGTTCACATCTGCCGAAGTCAACTGCACCATTTTTTTAAAAAACGTGTTAACGAATGGCAAATATGTGCATACATCAAAGGTCCTACACGTTTTCACTTGCCGTTTGTGTTATAAGATAAAAAAAGTGAAGCATATTAGACATAAAGCCCGGCATCCCATTGCACTTTGATCAAACGAACAAGGTACCAATATCTGAGTATTGGAACATCCGGGGAGGAACCTAGTATTTCCAAAAGTGGACATCTGCTAGGGCCTCTCTGCTTCATGTTTATGTTAACATTTTAATATACACAGTCTAAAAGGTATCAAATTTGAGATTTCACTTCCTAGGTTTTTTTTTCTTCATGTGATGCAGGAAAATATTGCTCAACACGGATTGTTGCATGTAGTTCACTTTTTATTCCAACACCAAAAGGTAAAAACAAAAACTATTAATGCACAGATTACTTTCCTTCTTTATTTCTCTAGATGTTTCACAGCCTCTCTCTCCCATGTCTGTTGCAAACGATGGCTCTGTATCCACTAAAGGTCTTCAATACAAAGTCTCTAATCACATGAATTTTTCTTGAAGAAGAGCTGGTTGTGTTGCCTTCTCCTTTCTTGCATTACATGACTTTCCGAGCAATGAATGACTTCATAACTCTTCTTTGGTGAATGCTGCATCAAGCAATGAATTAACAAGAAGAGATAATATGGAGAATAACCTGTTGACGAATGTGGTGTACAGTTGTAGGCGTATAGCCGTATACCAACTCGGAAATATTCAGGCCATCTTCTCTTCTTCTCCGGCGGAAGAGTACGCAGTCGGTCATGCATCGTATGCTCGTAAAGTTCAAACCTTGGTCGCTGTGCAGCCGCTTAGGCATGCCAAATGTTACAAACCAGTTTTTGACGAGTACCTTTGCGACCGTAGTTGCCCGCTGGTCTCTGGTAGGTATAGCTTGAGTGTATTTCGTGAAGACCTCTGTCAGTACAAGGACATTCTCCACCCTGTTAGAGCTGGGCTCTAACACTATAAAGTCTATCGCAAGTACCTGCAGGGGCTCTCTTGCAATCAGTGAACCCATTTTCAGATGCAATTTCCTCCCTGCTTTGGAAAGTATGCATCGCTGGCAGCTTTTGCAGTGGGTGCGGATCTCTGCTTCCATTCCTGGTCAGTAGAAGCGTTGGACTGCTAATCTAGTAGTCATTTCTGAAGCTTGGTGGCCAACCTCATTATGGAGTGCACTTAAGAGCCTGTTCTTCAAGGCTCCTGGTACCAGAAGTTGCTTGCTTGGTTGCCCCTTCAGCGTAACTCTGCGGTGTAGAATACCATCTACGAGAAGGAGACGTTCCCACTGTCGCAACAGTTTCCGAACTGGCTTGTCTTCATTAGCCATCTGCCTCGGAGTCGGGGCACTTTCTTTCTCCTTGTAGAGTAGCAGTTTTCTAATGACTGGGTCATTCCTTGCTGGCATGTCTGTATCTGTTATCTCCATGACTTCTTTTACTCTCACTGCAAGTGCTAATGGCACTGGTGTAGACAAAGACGAAGGATGGCTTTGAAGACTAACTCCAACTTCTTTGAGTCTCTGTTGTTCAATCCCATGGTCTATTTTTCTGCTCAATGCGTCTGCGTTCACATTCAGCCTACCAGATCTGAGCTTAATCTCGAAATTGAATTGAGCAAGGTCCGCCTGCCACCTGATCTCCGTTGCTCCCAGCTTAGCCGTCGTCTGTAAGTAGCTCAGAGGATTGTTGTCTGTAAATACAACAAACTCTGCCCCAAGTAGTTTGCCCGGAATTTCTTGGTAATTGCCCAATAGAGCGCAAGGCGTTCCAACTTCATACTACTGTAGTTTTGGAGCTGTGAATAACTTTGTAACTCCTCTTTAGTGAATGCTGCAGTTGGAAGAAGAGCAACTTCCGCTTTTTATAAAATTAAGATACCATCCCTTGTGTAAGCCTGGCTATGAAGCCTCACAGATGAAGCACGATAATATACATGAACCACAATCTGGGAAACACACTAGTAACAACAAAAACTATTTTAGCACAGTTTACTTTTCTACTTTATTTCTCTGGATGTGCGGCAGCCTCTCCCTCACATGTCTGTTGAAATCGATGGCTCTGTATCCACTAAAGGTCTTGCATACAAAGTCTCTAATTGCATGAGTTTTTTCTTGAGGAAGAGCTAGTTGTGTTGCCTCCTCCTTTCTCTCATTACATGACTTTCTGAGCAATGAATGACTTTGTAACTCCTCTTTAATGAATGCTGCATCGAGCAATGAATTAACCATCTTGCAGGTGTTTAGAGCAACTTCCGCTTTTGATAAAATTAGGATACCATCCCTTGTTGTAAGCCTGGCCATGCAGCCTCACTTTCTTTAGGAAGAGCTAGTAGGGTGCCTCCTCCTTTCTGGCATTACATGACTTGGTGTCATCAGCATATGACTTAAGCTTAATTTCTGTACTGTTCACTCTGGTGCCTTTAACATCATTATCTCTCCTTATCCATATACTCATTATTTCTTTACAAATTGTATACAGAAGGGGGCTAAATGGGCAGCCTTGTCTAACACCACATATGATTGGGAAAAATAGAAGCATGCCCGTTGTTCAACACACATGAATAAATATTGTACCGTCCTTCTTTCTAACGAGTACTATGTTAGAGGCCCAGGGACTATCTGTAGGTTCTATTAGTCCTTTGTCTAATAGTTCTGTTACTTGTTCTTTGATTTCCATTCTTTGGAACACTTAATCCATCACCCGATAGGAACGTCCTATCATCATCAACAACATCAATCAATCACCTTAACGCATATACATGTCTCCAAAAAAAATCTATTAATCGAATATTCATTTACTCAAATAACATCTCTTGTCCTGCCAAAATTTGACGTATATATTCTTCGGTTGAAATTCACCTCAAAAAGATTATCTTATTAACTAGGTAATTTGGCCTCCCCATTAAGTCTTTATCAAAGTAATGCTCAATTGACCTATATACACACAATAATCATATATATATATATATATATATATACTTATCAGTGGGGTTACAGAAGAAATAGGGATAGAGATAGAAAAAGATTAAGAAGTTGATAGAAAGATAAAAGAGGCAAAATAGGGTAGAGGAGGCTTTAATACTTGCGAACTTTATACTCGAATCTCATATCAAACCCTCCTCCAGGAAGGTGAAGAGTCTCGAAGACCCGGGCAACACTTTCTCTACTTTTTAACGTGTGAAAATAGCTCTTAGTCTCGCTGCAGGCCTCGGTGCGTGTTGAGTCCGGGTTTTGTTTGATAGAAATATGGCATCTGTCCATTAATTTGGCGATGTGGTCCTCGGGGTCTGATGTTTGGGTTCCAGTGTCATTAGTATATTCATACCACGCGTTGACAGGGTTCGCATTTACGCTTGTTCCGTCGTCATCATGCTGATGGGGTGGGATTTCTGGGAGAGGGGAAAATGGTGGTGTTTGGGTGTCTTTAGCCGGGGACGGGGTTTCTTGGAGAGGGGAAGCTGGTGGTGGTTAGGTGTCATCAGCCGTGGATGGGGTTCCTGGGCGAGGGGGAAGTTGGTGGTGTTTGGGTGTCATCGGCCAAAGACGGAGTTTCTAGGAGTGGGGAAGTTGGTGGTTTTTCCGGCAGAGAAATGATAACGCGATCAAGAAAGAAACGCAGCATTGACTTCCTTCAGCCATTTTTTCTTCTCTTCTCTATCTTTCTTGGTCGAATCGTATAGACGTATATTTTCTCCTTTTCTAGCTTTTTTCTCTGCTGGGAAACGACATATCTCTTGTCTTGAAAAGACAGCATTTTTGCCAAAAGATGACGTGGCAAATCCTTCATTTGGGGGCCGTCTCGATTGGCACGTTCAATTTGTGGGTTTTCCGTACCAAAATATCTCTTGAGAATATCTTTTGCGACATCCATAGCATTCTCATTGGGGTAATAATGTACTCCGACAATTCTGAAGTTGTTTCTCGGAGAAAAACATTCCAGTTTATTTTCAGCTAGCTCTTCCATCTGCAGACGGGATTCATGGGTCAAAATGCGGGCTTCTAAGTCATTCACCTTCTTCTCAAGTGGGGTAATCTTCTTCTCTAACTCTGTAGTACAAGCATCTTGGTAGGCTAGAGCTTCCTCAAAATTAGAAAGCATTGAACGAATGTCAGAAATTCTTTTCCGAACAAATACTTCAAAGTCTGAAGGGGCGGGGTTGGTTGGAGTATCGGAAGATGCGAGCTGACGGGGATGAAAGTCCCAGTTGAGGTCCCGCTTCGAAGATTGAGCGGCATGATTTGCTTTCTGCCAAGTAGCTAAGTTATTAAACCAAAGATGTACATATTCACAAGTCATGCATCGCTATGTATATTTTTATGTTTGTTTGTTTGTACTCTCATACCCAGAGAGGGGGTCAATCAAATTCTACGAATTTTACCTGTGACATTTGGCTCGAAGGGAGAGCTAGGTATCCAGCCTCCTCTTCTGGCCCCAGAATGCCCTCGACACTCTCCTCCACCATTGCCTCCAGTACAGCCTCGTGTTTTTCATTGTATTCCACTGGTGGTCCACCTCCTGATCCAAAGTCAAAGAAATAAATGTTAACTTCTTACCATAAATTTTACGAAATGTTAATATCGATCGTAATTTTGTTTTCCATAACAGTTAAAGAGAGATCTTGGATTAGGTCGTGATGGTTAATAACCTATACCAAATAAATATAAGTTGTGATTTGCGGTTAAGTGGTGGTTATTTTACCCGACTGCTAAAAAAGCACGAGTGCTTGTTATTAACCGACGACTTTAGGTCCTAAGGGACCTTGGTAATGAGGAATAATGCCTGAATACCAAAGGGCACTAGTGCATCGACGACATGGTTTTGAACCTAGGTCACCGGATTATGAGACCACCAATCTACCAACTAAGTCTCCTAATAATAATAAACCCCTTTACTAATTCAATACTCTTCTTGACAGGCTACTCAGAGTATTCTTTATTGAAATACGATATACCATGCAAGCACAGGTAACTATTGGTGATAAATTACATGTGGTAGGAGTATACAAGAAAGGTACCTTTTACAGTTTTATCTGTTACACAATAAAGACAGCTTAATTTACCTGTCTTGTTCTTTGAGTCCCTGTACTTTCGAGCCTTTGCCGCCATTTCGTTCCAGGTAAGACGTAAGTCCTTAACCGTCCTACCTGGTTGGAGTCCCTGGGCCTCTAGGGATACGAGCCCTAGGGCCCATGCATCCTCTTTTCGTTTTATGATCTACAAAAATTTAAGAACAAAAAGTACAATGTAAATTGGAACCTACTCAAGTTCTCTTTAATTATATGCAATAGATGATTAACATATTAATTCACCCTTACTTATTTTGAAAGAATACTCTCATATGATAGCATCCAACTGTCTCCAAAGACAGTGGACTGCATTCTGTCTTGGGCATCAGAAAAAATGAAAACCAAAAGATCATTTTCGGTATACTTATTAGAAGAAATGTTGAAAGAAGGAAAAATAAAAATAAGTTAGATAAAAAGACTCTTTATTCAAATTCGAAATCATAGTTATGTTCTGGAAATTTTCATAGATAGATCTGCATTGGATTTTACAAACCTTTTCCACACAGTTCCCCGCTTTGCCGAACAAAGCTTGGCGGTTCTTTTTTACGAAAGCTGCCAGGACATCCCGACCTGTCAAGTTCGGCCTGCGTTTCACCATTTCCTAGAATGAAGAAACAAAATTAAAAAACTAATGAGAAGCCAGAAAGATTGTTTAAAATGAGTTCTGTTAAATCAAATTTGACGGTATCAAACCCTTTTAAACACAAGATTGTTGTTTGGTTTTGTTACTCGATCAGTATAGGGCCTCGATCTAGATCTAGACTCATGTAGTATCTCAATATTTCTACTAGTATAGGTCCAAAACCTGCCAATTAAATTACCACCATTTAACATCTAAATATAGACTAGACTCTACATGTAGTTAATGCATTTTACAATATATTATTATTATTATCAATAATAATTATTATTATTATCAATTGAAAAATAAATTAAAGTTTAAGGGGTTTGCTTTGCGGTAGGGGAAAAACTGAATTCAGACTAGGATTCAGAGTCGTGAAAGGTAATACGAATCGTCTTGTTTCTCTAATGATTTAATGAAATGTAAAAGCTTCGCGCGGGAGTTGGGGGGGGGGGGAAACTAAATTCAGACGAGGATTATTTTCGAGAACGGTACAACGAATCGTCTTCTTTCTTTAATGCTTTTAATGAAACTTAAAAGCTTCGCGCGGGAGAGGGGCCTGAATTCAGAAGAGGATTTAGAGTCGAGAACTGTACGACGAATCGTTTTTTTTCTCTAATGGTTTAATGAATCGCAAAAGCTTCCGCGCGAGTGGGGGGGGGGGGACCTGAATTCAGACGAGGATTTAGAGTCGAGAACTGTACGACGAATCGTCTTTTTTCTCTAATGGTTTAATGAATCGTAAAAGCTCCCGCGCTTTGCGCGGGCAGGGAAAAACTGAATTTAGACGAGGATTATTTTCGAAAACGGTATAACGAAACGTCTTCTTTCTCTAATAATTCAATGAAACGTCGAGAGGGAGGGGGAACTCGCCCCTCCCTGCACCCACCCCCCCTCCCCGCATTACGTCACTGCTGGTCACCATTACGTACCAATATTTGGCTCGCATAATTTCACATTTGGGCCCCCCCCCCTAAGAAATCCTGGATCCGCGCCTGACACTAGACATAGTCTAGGGTCTATTATATTTTAAGTAGTATCTGATTATAGATCTACTACTAGTCTGAAGCTGAATAAAGTTGAAATTATAATTGAGAGTCTTTATAATTATAGACTGGAAATTGGAATGAAGTTGAAATTCTAATCGACTTAGGGTGGTATTCTCATAAGTTAAGCCGGGACTAAGTCCAGACTAAACAAGAATTTTAGTTCACACTTCTATGGAATGCTAGGTTTCATCTTCCTCCTTCAATATTCGTGACAAGGATAATCTACCAAAGACTTTGTTGAAATTCAGTTCATACTCATATTATCTTTTTCTTCCCATTTCATTGCAAAATTAATTTTTTGGACGCTTTTCATTGAAGGATTAAAATAATCTGTTCAGGGTAAATTAGTTCACAACAGGCACTCCATAAAAGTGTGAACTAACTAAGCACGCGCTAACTTAGTACGCGCTACCAGAATACCACCCTTAGAGTCTATCGAGAGTCTTAATTTTATCTAGATATTCTAATTGAGAGTCTAGTATTTTACATTTTAGAATGATATTATGAGGTAATTGCAAGTTGTTTACCCTTAAACAACTTTAAATCATCGGGTATTGTAGATAAACGAATGTTCAAAACACCACCCAATCTAGTCATGCTAGTAGTGGAATGTCAGATTATGCTACCCAGCTCCTCCGGGGAGCTCAGTACTCTAGTCGCCGCTGGCTTCTGAAAGCACGTAGGGCTGCGGAGACTGACGTAAACATTACAATTAAACCCCAGTACGATGGCAAATACTGTCTGAGTAAAGGCTGCAAGTTTATTGCCAGTACTGATACATTTATCAATATGTATAGCAGAATGAATATGCTCTTTCGATTAACACATAAATATGATTAAAGTCAAGAAATACGTACGATATGCGATAATTGTAGATTGGCAGCAGCCGTCTTCGGTGTTTATCTCAGTGGCTATATCTAGCAGACGACGTGTATTGCGCATGCGCTAAAATTTCTGGCTCGTCCAAGAAGACCATTCGCGGGTTTTTCTTATATTAGTTAATATCGGTTTTATGCAACGGATATTAAGCTCCGATGGTAGTTACCATTGATGGTAACTACCATAATAGTAACTCGGGGAGTTACTATTATGGTAAGTCAAAATTTTTATAATACGGGGCCCAGGTCCTCCACCCCACTTTCCTGCACATAGTCATCCTCTGATGGGCCGTAGTGGTAAATTGTTCTCGAATTCGTTCAATTGA